CATTATGCTTCTTTTACTTGTAGGTATTGCTTTTATGACTGATAATTTTTATGACTTAATTATAATAACTAATAGCATAGTTATATTCAAAGTATTCCTTGGTAACAAGTTAGTATCTTCTTGATTCATCAATATGTAGGAAGGTAGTAATGCATCCTAACTCCAATTTTATTTTAGTTATTGACTAGGGGATAGAAGAAATACTGATACTACAGAATTCAGTGTGAAAGGTGATTGGTTATACACTCAATCTCAGGACTGCTTTTTTTTTAGTTCCTTCTACTTGTGTCTTGTTAATAACATTGACTTATAAAAGCTAGATTATTCTTGGTTGGAATGTCTTTAGTATTATTGAGGAAATACCTATTTCCTCAATACCTTCTTATAAAAGAAGAATGAAAGCTACTATTAATTAATACATATCTTTTATTATGTCTTTATTCCTTTTAAACATAGTTGTATCAGACTGGGTCCAGTCAGGAGGTAGAAATCAGAGGGTTAAACAGGGTAAGTTCCATATGAAGAATTATTAAACTCTGATGAAAGAGTGACTATAAGATATAAGAAAACTGCATATGGTACTCTAGGGCGAAGGGAGGAAAGTCACACTTACAAGGATCCTCTAGCCAAGACTGGATTTAGAACTTGTGGGGGGAGATATAGTTCAATCCACTGGATTAGTAGAGAAATTCACTCTTCTGCCCAGACTGGAGCTGGTCTGCAGTCACCGGGCAGTCAGGACAACTGGAGTGCAGGCCACTAGCAACAAGTGGTCTGGGCATGCAGAGGGAGTGGCAGTTGTATGGGAAGCAGCAAGTAAGCCACCCTGTGGGCCTCCAGAGGAAATCAGGGACTGACAGGGTCTAGGGGTTTCAGTGTGCCTATGCAAGCAGGAAGCTCTTTCTCCTTGCAGTGTCCTTTTAGCCCTCTACTGAGAAAGCTTAATGTGGTTGTAAGAATAGAAATGCTTCAGGGGCGCCTAGGTGGCTCAGTCGGTTAAGCATCTGACTCTTGGTTTTGGCTCAGGTCATGATGTCAGAGTCATGAGATTGAGCCCTGCGTTGATGGAGCCTGCTTAAGATTCTTTCTCTTCCTCTGCCCGCCCCCCCCGTCCCCCGCTCACGTGTGTGGGCTCCCGCGTGTGGGCACCCACGCAGAAAGAAAAGGAATGCTTCAATTGTGTCTGTTATGGCAGGACATATGTTAAAGGGTCATTTTGAAGCTTAGAGTCATTAAATGATAATGGGCATAATAATGTTCCTTTTTCCAGTTTATTTTTTTTGCCATATAGGTATGTAAAAACTCTTGACTAATTGCCTTTCTGTACTTTTTATTGTTTGTGTTTGCTTTCCTTCCTACTGACATTTTGGGTCAGATAATTCGTGGTTGTGGGGAACTGTCCTGTGCATTGTAGTATGTTTAGCATCACCCCTGACCTCTACTCACTAGATACTAGTATCACACATAAACAGTTGTGACAGCCAAAAATGTCTCCAGACCCACTGGTGAGCAAAAGTCTCTCCTGGTTAAGAACCACTGTTTTTTTATTAAAAAGCACTCTGTTGGGCGCCTGGGTGGCTCAGATGGTTAAGCGTCTGCCTTCGGCTCAGGTCATGATCCCAGTGTCCTGGGATCGAGTCCCACATCGGACTCCCTGCTCCTTGGGAGCCTGCTTCTCCCTCTGCCTCTCTCTCTGTCTCTCATGAATAAATAAATAAAATCTTTAAAAAAATAAAAATAAAAAAAAATAAAAAGCACTGTTAAAAACAATCTAGATCTCTCTTGTAATAAAGGTTTGCTTGTGGTTTTTAGCAAATGCTATTTTAATAAAAGAGGGTATCTTAGATAATTATAAAGTTTTGTTTTTGGAACAGGTATTAGAAACTAATTGAACCTCTGTATTTCATCTATAAGTGAATTTTCAATTGATTTGTTTCTAGTCACGTAGCTATTTAGTTGCATACCTAGGATTGGAACCCAAAATGTTTTCAAAAAAAGTATTTTCTTGTTTGTTCTTTGATTTAAGAGCGTATGTTATGCATGCACCTTGGTAGGTGCTAGAGATTTGATGATGAGGCAGTGAGTAAAATTTCAGGTTATCATGAAGAATCATTTTATTTAGCTATCACACTCTTGCTTGATACTTGATGATAGAAAGATACTTTTTAAAAAGCATTGAAAGAATATTTGATTCATATATGGAAGGACTGTGGTTAAAGGAGCTACTCTTAGCATTAAGATGCAGTTTTGTGGTTGCAACTGTTGAAACGGTTGTGGGCTTTGAATCAGGCTTTGAAGACTGAGAGTCTGGTCTTAGTTCTTCATGAAACTCATAACAACCTAGGCCTTCATTATCATCTGTGAAATTACATTAGACTACCTGGATTCTGAGTTACCTATCCTACCAGTTCTGATACAGTATGAACTTCCAGATTGAAGTTGAAAATGAGAATAGAGAAGGCCTAGAGACTGTCCCAGTCTTCTAGGACAGGGATAGAAGAAAAAAAAAAAACTATATTGTTTTATATAATTATAGTGACCTAAACTGTATCAACACATTGGCAATACTTTGGATTGAGACGAGTCTAATAGTAGAGAATGTGCTTTAATACCAAGCTGAACTGAAATTCTGGTACTATTCATGTACTTTACAGAGATTTGACTCTGAGATAAATTTCTGAGTATAAAAAATAATTTTAAGGTAGGATTCTGGGTAAGTCAAAAAGGAGTTACTTAAAAAACAACAGAATGGGAAAAAATATTTGCATAGATTTATCAGTAAGAGCCTTCTAGCCAGAATACATTTAAAAAAAAAACAACTCGCAACTCAACAGTAAAAAAGACAAACAACCCACTTAGAAAGGGGACAAAGAATTTGATAGACATTTCTCCAAAATAAATATGTAAATGGCCAGTAAACAAATGAAAAGATGCTCAGCATAATTACTCATTAGAGAAATGTAAGTCAAAACCATAAGGAGAGAGGTGCGTGGGTGGTTCAGTCAGTTGGGCATCCAGCTACTTTTGATTTCAGCTCAGGTCATGATCTCAGGGTCTTGAGTTGAGCCTTGCCTGGAACTTCATGCTCAGCGCAGAGTCTGCTGGAGGTTCTCTGCCCCTAGGCCCACTCTCGCGTGCTCGCTCGCTCTCTCTCAAATAAATATGTCTTAAAAAACAAAACAAAACATAAGGAGATAACATTTCAGGCCCACTAGTGTGACTCTAATAAAAGGGTGGGGAGACACTTGGGTGGCACAGTCAGTGAAGCCACCGACTCTTGATTTTGGCTCAGGTCCTGATCTTGGGGTCCTGGGATCAAGCCCCATGTTGGTCTCTTGCGCTTGGTGGGGAGTCTGCTTGAGGATTCTCCCCCTCTCTTTCTCTTTTCCTCCCCCCCACAGGCCCACTTGTCCATGCTCTTTCTTAAATAAGTAAATCTTAAAAAAAAAAAAAAAAGATATGCAGTAACAAGCATAGACATGGATGTGGACAAATTGGAACCCTCATACATTGCTGGTGGGAATGTAAAGTGATGTAGCCTCTTTGGAAAACAGTTCGGCAGTTTCTGAAAACATAGTTACCATATGGCAGTTGAACAGTTATCATATAAATCAGTATTTCCACTCCTAGGTTTATACCCAAGAGAATTGAAGATACACATCCAATACAAAAGCTTATATGTGAATGTTTATAGTAGCATTATTCATAATGGCCAAAAAGTAGAAACAACCCAAATTTCCATGAACTGATGAATGGGTAAACAAAACAAAAAAATTTATCTCCATACAATGAAATAATATTTGTCCATAAAAATGAATGAAATCTGAGACATGCTACAACTTGAATGGACCTTGAAAACAAGCTAAGGGAAAAAAACAGTTACAAAAGTCACGTATTATTCCATTTATACGAAATGTCTGGAATAAAGATTAGTGATTTCTAGGGGGATAGGAAGAGAGGAAAAGATGGGTAACTATTAATGGGTATGGGTTTCTTTTTGGGAGGATGAAAATGTTCTGATATTAGATACTGCCAGTGGTTGTTCAGCTCTGAATATGCTAAACACTGAGTTGTACACTTTAAAAGGGTGAATTTAAAAACAAAAGAAAAGGGTGAATTTTATGATATGTGAATTATATCTTAGTAAAGTGGTTTTTTTTAAATTGAGCCCAAAAAACTTAAAAAGGAGTTATTTAATCACTGAGATTAAGCTGCAATCGACAGTTAATGCTTAAGTGTCAGTTCCACATTTCCTTCAAACCCTTTCCTGTAATTTTGTCTTTTTTACTGTTTAATGTTTATTGTGTTTGGTGTTTTGATTTTGTTTCTTTAAATAAGTTCTGGTTAAGACTTAGATCACTTGGGGCGCCTGGGTGGCTCAGTTGGTTAAGCGACTGCCTTCGGCTCAGGTCATGATCCTGGAGTCCCAGGATCGAGTCCCGCATCGGGCTCC